CTGTATGTATGAATGCGCTGTATGTATCTCGATGAAAACCTTTAATAAAAACTTTAAAATAAAAAAAAAAAGAAAAATCCCAACTCGAGCCCACCACTTGCATAAAGTTCATCGGCGCCAGGTTCGATTCTCTCTCCCAGACGGTCTCCCTTCCAGAAGAGAGATTCAGGGCGCTTCGGGCCGAAACACTGAAGGTGCGCCGCTCCCGAGTGGTCTCAGCGAAACAAGTGCAAGTCCTCCTCGGGCACATGGCCTCCACAGTGATGGTGACACCGCTGGCAAGGCTTCGTTTCCGTCCCCTGCAGAGGTGGTTCTTGGACCACTTCAATCCCATGCGGGACAGCGCCGCAAAGCGTCTACTGGTACCGAGGCCGGTAAAGGACTCACTGGCTTGGTGGACGAGACGCGATCATGTCTGCAAGGGCATTCCCTTCCACCCAGATCCCCCGACCGTCACGATCACGACGGACGCCTCGATGTTCGCATGGGGATGCCATACAGGAGACCTCTCAGTTCACGACCTTTGGTCTCCGCAAGAAAGACAATGCCACATAAATTACTTGGAACTGCTAGCAATATTCAAGGCCCTGAGAGCATTTGCCCTCCTGGTCACCGGGAAGTCTGTCCAAATTCTCACGGACAACACGGTGGCAATGTTCTACGTGAACAAGCAGGGCGGAACGGGCTCGAGGAAACTCCTCGCGCTATCGACGGAACTTTGGGATTGGTGTGTAGCCAGGTCGGTGTCGATATCAGCGGTACACCTCCCGGGCGAGATCAACACCGAGGCCGACGCACTCAGCAGAACCAGGGTGACATCTCACGAGTGGAGGTTCAACCCCGATGTCCTAACAGAGATCTTCGAGGAATGGGGCCTTCCAGTCGCAGATCTCTTCGCGTCGCCGCAAAACACTCAGCTCCCTCAGTTCGGTGCTCGACTTGCTCCGAACACGGTACCGGGGTGTCTCGGAGACGCGTTCCTTTTAGACTGGTCAAGACACCTGCTCTACCTCTTCCCGCCGTTCCCGCTCATCCCGAGGGTGATCGAGCGAATCCAGTCTGCACAGACGAACTGCATCCTGGTGGCGCCAGAATGGCCACGACAGCCGTGGTTCCCGGTCCTGCTCCAGCTGTCACGGGGACGGATGAGACGCCTTCCACTTCGACAGGACCTGCTCTCTCGGGAGGACGGTCAACTTCTCCACCCCGACATCGCTTCTCTGCATCTTTCGGCGTGGAGGATCCGCTGCTGAGATCCCTGTGCCCAGGGGTCCTCCCGATCTTGGAAGCGGCGCACAAGCCGGCTACCAAGAAGTGCTACTCAGCGTGCCTTAACCGTTTTCAGGCTTTCCTCTCCGAGAAGGGCCTGGACGATCATCGACCGGCGATACCGGCGATCCTTTCCTTCTTGCTGCACCTTACGGAGCGAGGACTGTCGTTGTCTTCGCTCAAATCGCATTTGGCCGCCATATCGTGGCAGCTCCAACGAGCGGGACAAGCCTCCCTCTTCAGGGACAGCTCTGTGAAATCTTTTTTGAGAGGTTTCAACAACCTGCATCCCCCGGTTCGGTCTCCGACTCCGGGGTGGGACCTCGACCTCGTACTGGCTAGGCTCGTGCAACCGCCTTTCGAGCCTTTGGTTTCAATTGACCTTCGGTTGTTGTCATGGAAGGTGGCCTTCCTAGTTGCCATCACCTCAGCCCGTCGGCCGTCGGAGTTGGCGGCATTGCGGGTGGACGAACCCTATTTTGTTGTCCACGAGGACAGAGTAGTTCTCCGCACAGATGTGACATTTCTCCCTAAGGTCGTGTCCCCTTTCCATGTCAATGAGGACATTATTCTTCCCTCCTTGTGTCAGTCCCCCTCGACCATGAGGGAAAAGAGACTTCATATGCTCGATGTGCGGAGAGCATTGCTGGGTTATAGGGACAGGACTGCCCAGTCTAGGCGGTCGCAGAGACTTTTTGTGGCGTATGCTCCTGATAAGGTGGGCCTGCCGGTCACGGCGCAACGTTTGTCGCACTGGATTACCTCGACCATCGAGCTCTGCTATCAACTGGCTCGACAACAACCACCCTTGGTCGTCCAGGCTCGGTCGACCAGGGCTATGGCAGCTTCGACAGCTTTCCTAAAAGGGATTCCCCTGGACGCTATTTGCAAGGCGGCCATTTGGAAAAATCCTCAGACATTCGTGTCACACTATAGGTTGAACACCTGGTTTACACCTGACATGGCCTTTGGGAGGGCGGTTCTGGACTCAGATCCGTCTTGAGTCCTTGGACGGAGTGTTTATAGGTACCGACTTGTTGTTTTTGTCGATACCGTGTGTTACTGTAAATGTTGATTACCATGTTTTATTACTTGAAATTTTTCCCTCGTTGCGGGGAATAAAGTTGCACCTTTTACACTTGATGCCTTACTGCCTGAGGCACAGGCAGCCATTACACTGTGGCCTAATGGGCCCATCACGGGTATTCTGTGTCATTATCGATGGTTTTTGCCTTCTTAATGTGTTATACTCTTATGGCAACAATGGTTGTATTGCTGCCTAATGTGCCCTCATTCTTATGAGTGTCTTCAACAATCACATGTGCTTTATTTCAAGGGTCATAAGTTTACTCAATTGTTGGTCACTTTTGAGTGGCCGGGAGGATCACGTACTCCCATAAGTTCATGCACTGTGCCCTTCTTTGGAAGTGATTGCAACCTCTTGTTATGTATTATGCCCTTCTTCGGAAGTGATTACACTCTCTTGTTCATAACGGTTTTTTGCACTTAATAAAATTGTTTGGCCCTTGATTTCAGTGGTCGGTTTGCTTACTTCCCGCCTCCGGGACCTGAGCTTGCTAGTCTCCACAAGTGTGCATTCGCAGAGACCACGAAGAAAAATGGTAGGTTACATACCTGTGACCATCTTTCTTCGAGTGGTGCTCTGCGAATTCACACTAACCCGCCCAGCCTCCCCTCTAAGCAAACCTCCAATTTCTCGCTACCGTGGCGGCGTAGGAATTGGAGTGGTGCGCGCAGGGCGCCCTTTTATCCCCTGCCGGGGCTGGGCGGGGTTACCGCCAAAACTTCAAAAGTTTTAAAAAGTAGAAGTTTCCGTTGGAGCCCGCGCAGGCGCAGTCTCTCCACAAGTGTGAATTCGCAGAGCACCACTCGAAGAAAGATGGTCACAGGTATGTAACCTACCAATATTGTATTTACTTTTTACTTGTAAGCCGTTCTGAGTCCCCTTCGGGGTGAGAAGGGCGGGATATAAATGTAAATAAATAAAGTAAATAAATAAAATATAATGTATATACATATAATATTTATAATATTATAATGTAATACAATATAATACAAAGAATAATATATTATAACTATATATTTTATATTACATATAATATTACAAATAATATTACAATATAATGGTATAGTGTTGTTCATTCGTTCAGTCGTCTCCCGACTCTTCGTGACCTCATGGACCAGCCCACGCCAGAGCTCCCTGTCGGCCGTCACCACCCCCAGCTCCTTCAAGGTCAGTCCAGTCACTTCAAGGATGCCATCCACCCACCTTGCCCTTGGTCGGCCCCTCTTCCTTTTGCCTTCCACTTTCCCCAGCATCATTCCCTTCTCTAGGCTTTGCTGTCTCCTCATGGTATAGTACGATATATTAATTAATTAATTAATTAAATAAATAAAATATAATATATTGTATATACATATAATATTTATTGTATTATAATGTAATACAATATGATACTAATCATAATATGATATTATAATTATATATTTTATATTACATGTAATATTACTAATAATATTACAATATAATGTAGTACAATATATTCATATATTAAAAAATAAATAAATAAAATATATTGCATATACATATAATATTTATAATATAATGTAATACAATATAATACTAATAGTAATATGATATTATTAATATATTATAATTATATATTTTATATTACATGTAATATTACTAATAATATTACAATACAATGGTATCATACAATATATTTATTTATTTATTTATATATAATTACGACATTTATATCCCACCCTTCTCACCCCAAAGGGGACTCAGAGTGGCTTACTATATATATATATTCATACAATATACTATATTATTAGCATAGTACAATATCAGTATTAAATATGACTATATTGTATTATACCATAATATTGTAATATTATTAGTTATAATAATATTACAATATAATGGTATAGTACAATTTATTTATTTATTTATTTATTTACGACATTTATATCCCGCTCTTCACACCCCGAAGGGGACTCAGAGTGGCTTACAATATATATGTATCTGGCCCCCAGGCCTTAGTTTGAGGACCCCTGGTCTATGGCATTGAATGTTTGCCATGTATATGTACATTGACCATGTTGTCCAGTTGCCCGACCACCGTCTCCCAAAGCAGTTGCTCTATTCTGAACTCAAGAACGGAAAACGGAATGTTGGTGGACAGGAAAACAGATTGAAAGATGGGTTCAAAGCCAACCTTAAAAACTCTGGCACAGACACTGAGAAGTGGGAAGCCCTGGCCCTTGAGCGCTCCAGCTGGAGGTCAGCTGTGACCTGCAGTGCTGCAGAATTTGAAGAGGCACGAATGGAGGGCGAAAGAGAGAAACGTGCCCGTGGGAGGGGCTACCTCCTCCAGTTCTCTTCATCCACCGCTGTTGCAGCAGCTTGAGAACCTTCGCATATTGACTAAATCCTGCACTTGCACAATCAGCTTCGGAACCTTCTAGAAATCTTTCAAGCCTTTGAAGGCAGTAGCCCCGCCCACACTCCCCTTGAGACTATATATAGCTTGTGGGAGGGGCTACCGCTTCCAGTTCTCTTCATCCACCTCTGTTGCAGCAGCTTGAGAATCTTCATGTATTGACTAGCTTTCAGACTGCCTTACCTACACTGACTTCGGACGACAGATGTGAGCAGTATAGGGACGGATCAAACAAGGGGGACCTGGACGTTTCTTGTCTTGCAGGGACGACCTGCTGCTGCTGCGCCCGGGCAGCGAGAACCACACCTTCGTGGCCCGAGCGGTGAACAGCGGGGTGACATTGGTGGGCCTGTGGGATGCTCGGCGCCCAGGGATGGCCGACTACATCCCGGTCCCCGTGGAACAGGCCATTGGGCCGGAACTGCCCCATCCGCTGGCCCCGGGTGACCTTGTCTGCTTCCACACCACCCTGGTCGGTCCCAAAGGTCAGTGGGCCATTCGGGGTCCCGGGAAGGGCTTTGGGAAAGAAGGAGAGAAGAAATTGGGAGAGTATCAGCTTTTTTCCCCCTTGATATCGTATTTTCCAAAGGGCATGCATAGCTATCTGTAGCAAGGGAGGGAGACTATTTATTTATTTAAGAAAAACCTCTTTGCTCTTATACTGATTCAGTTTCTTCTTTTATCTTGGCTGGGACTTTCTGTGTGCTGTTTAACCTTTGTACAGACAATGAGACACTCTTCTGTATAACAAAGTAACACAGTTTATTTATAAATTCTGGCTCCAACGCTTGTGGTTACATTTGGGTTTTGTTGCAATCTTGAGGCTTACAGTCAGTATAATATACTTGGTTTAATTTTCTGAAATAGACTTTCAATGTTTCACATTCACAAACAGGTTACTTGCTTTACACACTCTTGACTGAAATTATATTCTGACTAAAGCACCACTGGCTTTCTTTATGTTCCTAAAACCTGAGCTCTATTTAACTAACTGCTTCTATATATATCAGAAGTCTTTAACACATCTTCATAACTGCTTATTTCTAACAGGAGTTCCTAACTCTTTTCTCTCACAGAAGTTCCTAACTGTCTCTCACAAACAGGAATCCCTAACTCTCTTCACAAACAGCAATTCCTAACTCACTCTTTTGACTCTCTAACTGCCCATTTTTAAACTTTGGCTCCGCCCCTTTGGAATGTTCAGCTCTCCTCTCTCTCCAACTGTCATTTTGGCCTAGCAACCTTTTCAAATCCTGGGCCTACGCTAATCTGCATAGGACCAATCGGCTCCCATACGCTAATGAATCATATCTCTGCTGTTGCTACCCTGTCTGTGCCTATTCTTCCCTATCTGCCATATGTAAACATAGAGTTATACACCAAAAATTTTAATATAGAGTAGCAATTTCGCTACACTATCCCATCTGCTGCTAATAACTGAGGAAGGAGGGTGGGGGGCTGTTGCACTCTAGCACTGAAGCACCTTTTCACCCAGCACCGCACCAGAGTCCAGTAGTACTATGGAGAAATGTTTATTAAGGGAGGCAGGCACAAAGGGAAAGAAGGGCAATTCCAAAAGGGTCAGTAGAACAGAAGATACAAAATAGCAGTAATCCCAAAATAGCAAAGTACATCAAGTCCAGAGAACCAGAATCCATGTGATCCGAACACAAATCCATCAACCAGAAAACAGGAGCTTCTTCCAAGGCAAACCCTTACAGGAACAAAGACATGAACCCGATCAGGAAACTTGAGAGCATAGATAGGAAAACCACCCTTAAAGCATCGTTGTCTCCTCTGAGAGGCTTGAAGCCCAACTACTTAATTTAAGCCCATTCAGGTACCCATGACATCATGCCAAACACACCTGGACTTCAAGGACTTCCTACGGCTTCTGTGAGAATATTTAACTTACCTGTGTCTCACTCCCTCCGTTCTCAGGCCTAATCTAGTTTCTCAGGAAAACTTCCTATCAGCCCAAGGACTTTCTCTTTGGGCATCGGCTGTGTTGCTATAGAATTACACTTATCCTGAGAGGACTTCTTCAAGGCGCGCAGGAGCTTGAGGAGACCAAATGTCTTTATTGTTTGGAATACACGAATCATACTCTACGGCCCATGTCCATAGGGCTTAACCGATAATCTCGTAAATCACAGAAATCCTCTGAAGTCTCACCTTTCCCAGGCATCAGAACAATTGATCAATCATACCCTGCCGTACATATAGGTGGGGCTGGCAGCCATCATGTGTCACCACACATCAAAACCATTGATCTCCATCTCTTTCTGTTTGTCCCTGTCCCCCGTTTGTCCATATTCTATGAGAAGGCACTGGAGATGTCATCGATAAATAACACGATTACGACACCTCCCCTCCCTCTTTCCCAATGGCAAGGGTCCAGTGGCCATAAAGGAACGGGGTGGATGATGGGAAAATTGCCCTGGGGAGGCGAATGGAAATGTGTCAGTGCCTTGTTCTCTTTTCGCCTTTTCACATCTGAATAAAACCCCACATTATCTGCTTTGAACTGGAATATATGTCAGTGCGGACTCTGATAACCCGGTTCAAAGCAGATAACCTTGATATTCTGGGCAATATGGCTGTGTGGAAGGGCCCGTTGTCTCTTTCTCTCCCTCTCCGTCCAGGTGAGCCTGGGACCTGGCAGGTGTCGCCCGGCGACCTCCTGGAGGTGGACGCCGAGAGCGGGGTGGCCTTTGCCAAGAGGGCCGGGAAAGCCACCGTCTTCCACGACATCCCAGGCCTGGTCAAGACCTACAGAGAGGTAGGGGCTAGAGCAGGATCCCAGCATCCCCTGCCCTCCGCGTGTCTGGGGGCCGTCTTGGACCCTTGGGAGGCACCACTTCGAAATGAGAATCTCGCATTGAACCTCACAATAGTCGTACTTTTATCTATTTTTGGATCAAAAAAACAGGTGCGACTATTATGTGATGAAAGCAAATCTGCCTTTGGTTCTCTGGGTTTTTTCAATGAAAGAGAGAGAAGGAGGATCCAGCCTCAAGCAAACAGCTCAATTTCTGTTTGTTTATGTTTGAAACTGCCTTAAGGCTTTGGAGTATCTGACAAGGCAGTTTACGAATCTGAAAAGGAACTCTTTGGAGGAAGGAGGGAAGACCCGAGTTCTAGATACCTCCATTTTAGGCTATTTAAACTGTCTTGCCTTCAGAGAAAGAAGGAAGGAAGGAAGGAAGGAAGGAAGGAAGGAAGGAAGGAAGGAAGGAAGGAAGGATCGGCCCCAAATGGCTCTGCGACTATTATGTGAGAAGCACAATCTGGCGGACTACAACTCCCATGAGTGCCAACCAATGCGTAGGCTGCCTGGAAGCCCGAATATGTTCTTGGGGGAGAAAGACTAATGTGCCTATAGTGTGTAGACGGCAGAGCAAGCAACACCATATCTCCTCACATAATAGTCGCACCCCCATTTTCCGGGTAGCAAAATTGGTTTCTCCTTCCTCCGGGACATTAGCATAGGCCGGCCTCAAAGGAATCCCCAGGAAAGAGGGGCATCACACAAGTCTTTAGGAAAGATGCCTGTTTGTGAGTCGTGTGGGGAGAAAAGGCAGAGGGCAGGGGGCTTTTTGGTGCTCTGCCTACACCAGAAAAAGAAGAAGGGGCAGGGCTTCAAAAAATCCTGCTCTATGGAAGCCTTCCGGCATTGACTTCTCCCCCGCAGGTTGTGATCAGCGGCAGTTCTGGCCTCAGCCTCAGCCTGGGAGCCAGGAAGTACCTGACCAACGCTCCCGATGCCCCTGAATTCCGGGTGTTTGTCTCCACCAGCAAAACAGGGGCCCTCAGAGGTACGGGGCCTGGCCTGCCCACCTTCCTCCCCTTCCACTGAGAGTAGGATTCATCCCATGGGTTCCAAACATTTCGCCTAGAGAATGGATGAGAACATGGGGCCTCACATGACAGCCCCCAAAGTCTTTCCTCAAACCCACCTTAAGCTTCAGACTCGTATCTATCTACCACAGGCATGGCCCTCCTTCCAGGTGTATTGAACTTCAACAATTCCTGACAGCTTCAGGCCCCTTTCTTTTCCCCTGGAGCTGCTTAAGATAGATGATAGACCTAAGAGAGGCCTACTTTCAGGTCCCAATAGATAAGACAATAGAGTGACAGAGCTAAGAGAGGCATACTTTCAGGTCCCAATAGATGATAGAGTGATGGACCTAAGAGAGGCCTACCTTCAGGTCCAGTGATAGACCTCAGAGAGGCCTACCTTCAGGTCCTGATAGTTGGATGAGAGAGCGATGGATCTAAGAGAGGCCTACCTTCAAGTCCCAATAGATAGCTGATAGAGTGATGGACCTAAGAGAAGCCTACCTCAATTTCCTGATGGATGATTGAGTGATAACCTAAGAGAGGCCTAGCTTCAGGTCCCAATGGATAGATAGATGAGAGAGTGATGGACCTGAGAGAGGCCTACCTTCAGGTCCCAATAGATGGATGAGAGAGTTATAGACCTAAGAGAGGCCTACCTTCAGGTTCTGATAGTTGGATGAGAGAGCGATGGACCTAAGAGAGGCCTACCTTCAGGTCTCGATAGATAGATGAGAGAGTGATGGACCTAAGAGAGGCCTACCTTCAGGTCCCAATAGATAAGACGATAGAGTGATAGAGCTAAGAGAGGCATACTTTCAGGTCTCAATAGATGGATGAGTGATGGATCTAAGAGAGGCCTACCTTCAGGTCCCAATAGATGGATGAGTGATGAACCTGAGAGGCCTACCTGCAAGTCCCAATAGATAAGACGATAGAGTAATAGAGCTAAGAGAGGCCTACCTTCAGGTCCCAATGGATAAGACGATAGAGTGATAGACCTAAGACAGGCCTATTTTCAGGTCCCAATAAATAGATGCTAGAGTGATGGACCTAAGAGAGGCCTATTTTCAGGTCCAATCGATGATCGAATGATGGACCTAAGAGAAGCTCTACCTTCAGGTCCCAATATATAGATAGATGCTAGTGATGGACCTAAGAGAGGCCAACCTTCAGGTCCCAATAGATAGATGATAGAGTGATAGTCCAAAGCACCTGAAGGGCCAAAGTTTGCCCCATACCTCATCTTCCCTTCACCGCCTCTTCTTGCTCCTTCACACTCTTTTCCTTTCCACTCTTTTCTCCACCTCCCTCCAAAAGAGAGGGGTCCCCTTCAGCCTCTTCTTGCTGCCCGGGGCCACCCCGCAGGAGGCAATGGGCACCTTCTCTGCCCCTTCCTTCCCCTTCGCAGGGCCTTGCAGTTCTGCCCAGCTCCGCAGCATCGCCGAGGGCCTCTCCCCGGAGTCTTACCTGAGCTGCCAGGTGGAGTTTGGGCCTGCCTTCCCGGAGGATGTCCCCGCTCACAAGGTCTTCCACGTACGGCCTGCTTTCTACGCCAACAAAGGTGGGGGCCCTTTTGTGCTTCCCCCGGTCTACCTCCATTGCATCAACACCCAGGAGGGAAGGAAGGAGGCTTGCGGGACTTTGTGGGCCACAGGTTGACCCAGTGTTTTCAAGGAATCCTAGGGTTGGAAGATGGATGGATAGATAGATAGATAGATAGATAGATAGATAGATAGATAGAAAAATGGAAGACATAATCCAAGGTACTCTTAAGGGCCATCCAGTCCAGCCCCTTCCAGGCACAACCAAAACCCTCCCAACAGATGGCCATCCAGCCTCTGCTTAAAGACCTTCAAAGAAGGAGATAGATAGATAGATAGATAGATAGATAGATAGATAGAATCCTAGAGTTGGGAAGAGACCCCAAAGAGGGCCATCCAGCCAGGACCCCTTCTGCCAGGCATGATTCGATCCCTCCCAACAGATGGTCACCCATTGTGAGCTTAAAGACCTCCAGAGAAGGAGATAGATAGATAGACAGATAGAAGAATGGAAGACAGAATCCTAGAGTTCAAGGTACTCTTAAGGGCCATCCAGACCAGCCCCTTTCTGCCAGGCAGGAAGGCACAACCAAGCCCTCCCAAAAGATGGCCATCCAGCCTCTGCTTAAAAACCTTCAGAGAAGGAGATAGATAGATGGATGGATGGATGGATAGAATCCTAGAGTTGGAAGATACCCCAAAGAGGACCATCCAGCCCAGGCCCCCTTCTGCCAGGCATGATTCAATCCCTCCCAATGGATTGCCATCCAGCCTCTTCTTAAAGACTTTCAGAGAAGGAGATAGATACATAGATAGATAGATAGATAGATAGATAGATAGATAGATAGATGCATGCATGCATGCATGCATGCATGCATGCATGCATACATACATACATACATACATACATACATACATCGATCGATCGATCAATAGATAGAATCCTAGAGTTGGAAGAGACGCAAAAGAGGGGCAGTCCAGCCCAGGACCCCTTCTGCCAGGCATGATTCAATCCCTCCCAATGGATGGCCATCCAGCCTCTGCTTAAAGACTTTCAGAGAAGGAGATAGATAAATAGATAGATAGATAGATGCATGCATACATAGATAGATCGATTGATTGATCGATCGATCAATAGAATCCTAGAGTTGGAAGAGACGCAAAAGAGGGCCATCCAGCCCAGGCCCCCTTCTGCCAGGTATGATTCGATCCTTCACAACAGATGGCCACCCAGCCTCTGCTTAATGACCTCCTGAGAAGGAGAAAGACAGAATAGGACAGGCAGACAGAATCATAGAGTTGCGAGGGACCTCTGAGGGCCATCCAGTCCAGCCCCCTTCTGCCATAAAGGAAGGCACAACCAAAGCTATCCCGACAGGTGGCCATCCAGCGTCTTCTCAAATACATCCAGAGAAGAAGACAGAGAGACTAGAAGAGATGGGCAGAAGAGATGTTAGAGTTGTAAGGGACCTCGAAGGGCCATCCAGCCCAACCCCTTTCTGCCATAAAGGAAGGCACAGCCCAAGCCCTCCTGACAGATGGCTACCCCAAGAAAGAGACCCCAGTGCAATGTCTGTGATAGGGATGTCCTCCAACTCGGAGCGTGCCTTGAGTGTGGCCTTTGTCCCCCTGCTTCCCCCCCCCAGGCCTGTACGCCTGCCTGGTGGCGGTGAAGGAGGGCCCGTCCGAGGCGGACCTGCTGGCGCTGAGCGGCTCCGAGGGCCCGGCCGTGGTGTCGGCCTCCCTCCTGGGCGGGACGGGCCCCGAGCGCAGCCAGAGCCTCTCCGTCCCCTTCCTGCCGGCCTTCGTCCTCAACCAGAGCGAGGTCCTCTTCAGCAGCCAGCAGATGAGCGCCGAGGTCGTGGTCATGGGCTCCAGGCAGGTCACCGAGTTCCTAGAGGTAGGTCGCAAGGCTCAGGCAGGCATGGGCAAACTAGGGCCCTCCTCCAGGTGTTTTGGACTTCAGCTCCCACCATTCCTAAGCCTAGATTTTGCATTGTTTATTTCATTTTGTTGCATTATGTATTTTGTTGTGTTTAATTTTTCTGTTGTTTTGTATATTATTCTGTTGTATTATTTTTGAGCTCGGCCTCATGTTAGCCGGCCCGAGTCCCCACTGGGGAGATGGTGGCGGGGTAAAAAAAAATTAATAATAATAATAATAATAATAATAATAATAATTATTATTATTATTATTATGGAGGCCTGGTCTTGTTGTTGTTGTTATTATTATTATTATTATTATTATTATTATTATTATTATTATTATTATTATTATGGAGGAGGCCTGGTCTTGTTGTTGTTGTTATTATTATTATTATTATTATTATTATTATGGAGGAGGCCTGTTGTTGTTGTTGTTGTTATTATTATTATTATGGAGGGGGCCTGTTGTTGTTGTTGTTGTTGTTGTTGTTATGGAGGAGGCCTGGTGTTGTTGCTGTTGCTGTTGTTTTTGTTGTTGTTATTATTATTATTATTATTATTATTATTATTATTATGGAGGAGGCCTGTTGTTGTTGTTGTTGTTGTTGTTATTATTATTATTATTACTATTATTAATATTATTATTATTATGGAGGGGGCCTGGTGTTGTTGTTGTTGTTATTATTATTATTAATTATTCTGGAGGAGGCCTGGTGTAAGCAAAGAAAAGCTGCATCTAGCAGCCAATTAGAAACACAAGAGACGTTGTCTTGATTTCGGGGTTTTGAAAATTGAAGTTTCGAGATGTGGTGCTCTCACACTCAAGAGTGGGCAAGTGTTGCCAAGTGTCTGCCTGGTGATGTGTTCTTCTCTCCCTTGCAGGCCGAGTCCAGCTCTGCGGCCCTCCGCGTGGAGGGTCCGGTGCTCCTGCGGGACTGGCCTGGGCTTGCCTTCCTGGAGCTGACCGTGGTCAACCTGACCTCCCTCCACCAGGCGGCGGCGCCCGTCTACGTCAACGTCTCCTGCGCCCTGACCGGGCAGAGGGCCGCCCTCCTGGTCCGGGCTTTGCCCGAGAAGCCCTTGTTCGGTGAGAGTGGTGGGATTGTGGGGCCACGTTAACTTGTCATGGCATCACAGAGTTAGAAGAGACCCTCCAAGGCCGTCCAGTCTGACCCCCTCCTTCTGCCAGGCAGGGAAAGCACAACCAAAGCCCTCCCCACAGATGGCCACCCTGCCAAAGATATGATCCACTCTATTCTCTGATATATCCGTCATACAATCCTAAAGTTGGAAGAGACCCCAAGGGACATCCGGTCCAGCCTCCTTCTTTTGCCGGTCAGGAAAAGCACAATCAAAGCCCTCCCTGCAGATGGCCACCCAGCCATAGATAATGATAACACACACAATATGCTATATCTATCATAGAATCCTGGAGTTGGAAGAGATACCAAGGGTCATCCAGTCCAGCCCCCTTCTTTTGCCGGTCAGGAAAAGCACAATCAAAGCCCTCCCTGCAGATGGCCACCCAGCCATAGATAATGATAACACACACAATATGCTATGATATACCGTCATGGAATCCTAGAGTTGGAAGAGACACCGAAGTCCATCTGGTCCATCCCCCTTCTTTTGTTAGTCAGGGAAAAGCACAATCAAAGCCCTCCCCACAGATGGCCATCCCACCATAGATACATAAGGCACACAATATGCTATGATATACCGTCATGAAATCCTAGAGTTAGAAGAGACACCAAGGGCCATCTGGTCCAACCCCCCAAAGCCCATCCAGTCCAGTCCTCTTCTTTTGCTGGTCAGGAAAAGCACAATCAAAGCCCTCCCCACAGATGGCCATCCCGCCATAGATATGATCCACTATATTCTCTGATATATCCATCATAGGATCCTAGAGTTGGAAGAGACCCCCAGGGCCATCCGGTCCGACCCCCTTCTTCTGCCAGGGAGGGAAAACACAACCAAAGCCCTACCAACAGATGGCCATACGGTCATAGATAATGATAACACACACAATATGCTATATCTATCATAGAATCCTGGAGTTAGAAGAGATACCAAGGGTCATCCAGTCCAGCCCCCTTCTTTTGCCAGTTAGGAAAAGCACCATCAAAGCCCTCCCCACAGATGGCCATCCAGTCACAGATAATGATAAGACACACAATGTGCTATGATATATCTATCATAGAATCTTTTGACAGGGAGGGGAAACACAATCCAAGCCCTCCCGACAGATGGTCGTCCAGCCATAAATAATGATAGACACAGAATATGTTAGGATATTCATGCCCTGTCCTGAGCATGAAATAAAAGCAGCTTTGCCGTTGGCGTCTTGCTCTCGCATCCCATGCGTACGTAACCTGGTTGTTTCCTTGGCCTTGCCCAGACCAGTGCGCAGTGAAGCAGCTGGTGGGCTCCTACCACGTCCTCCTCTTCACCATCTTCGTCATCCTGGCCTCCACCTCCATCATCTTCCTCGGTGAGTCAAGCCTGAGGGATCGGGGAGGGAAGGGGGGCAGGCCTTTTGGGGGGGGGATGGTGGTGCCATCGGTCAAACCGCTGAACTGTTGAATCTGCTGACCTAAAGTTTGGCAGTTCGAAGCCGCAAGTCAGGGTGAGCTCCCACTGTTAGTCCTAGTTTCTGCCAACCTAGCATGCAGATGCGAGTAGATCAATAGGTACTGCGAAATGGAACTAGAGCACCTCCGCATGGCCGGAGTTGAGCCGGAAATGAAAGGGGAAGCCTTTATGTTTAGGTCTGTGTATGCTGTTGTTATTATGTGAGTAGGTCAATAGGTACTGCTTTCATGGAAGTAAAACAAATGTGCTGATGCAGCCATGCTGGCAACACGACCAAGGAGGTATCTATGGACAACTGACTTCTCAGGTTGGAAATGGAACTAGAGCCCCTCCCCATGGCCAGAGTTGAGCCAGAAATGAAAGGGGAAGCCTTTACCTTGGGTTCTGTGTATGTGTGTGCCGTTGTTATTATGTGGGTACATCAATAGGTACTGTTTAGGCGGAAGGAAAATAAAGGTGCCGATGCAGCCATGCCGGCAACACAACCAAGGTGTCTGTGGACAATGGGCTTCTCAGCTTGGGAACCGAACTAGAGCCCCTCCCCATGGCCGGAGTTGAGCCGGAAATGAAAGGGGAAGCCTTTACCTTTGGTTCTGTGTATGCCATTGTTGTTATGTGAATAGGTCAATAGGTACTGCTTTGGTGGAAGGAACATAAAGGTGCTGATGCAGCCATGCTGGCAACACGACCAAGGAGGTATCTATGGACAACTGGCTTCTCAGCTTGCGAACTGAACTAGAGCCCCTCCCCATGGCCGGAGTTGAGCCAGAAATGAAAGGGGAAGCCTTTAACTTGGGTTCTGTGTATGTGTGTGCCGTTGTTATTATGTGAGTAGATCAATAGGTACTGCTTTGGTGGAAGGAAAATAAAGGTGCTGGTGCAGCCATGCTGGCAACACGACCAAGGAGGTGTCTGTGGACAACGGGCTCCTCAGCTTGGGAACAGAACTAGAGCCCCTCCCCATGGCCGGAGTTGAGCCGGAAATGAAAGAGGAAGCCTCTACCTTTGGTTCTGTGTATTTGTATATCATTGTTATTCCACTGTATTAAAGGCATTGTTTGCCTATCTGTGTATGTTGTAATCTCCTCAGAATATAAATAAGAGTGGAATATAATATAAAGTGTTATTATTATTGTTGTTTGGGGAGCCAGCCAGAAATGAAAGTGGAAGCCTTTACCTTTGGTTTTGTGTATGCGTGTACCGTTGTTATTCCACTGTATTGAAGGCATTGAATGTTTGCCTGTTGGTGTATGTTATAATCCCCTTGGAATATAAATAAGAGTGGAATATAATATTGTTATGTTTTGGGGAGCCAGCCAGAAATGAAAGGGGAAGCCTTTGCTTTTGGAATATAAAGAAGAGTGGAATATAATATTACTATGTTTTGGGAAGTCACCCAAATTTCCCAAAGCCTTTGCCTTTGGAATGTAAATAAGAGTGGAATATAATATTATTATTATGTTTTGGGGAGCCAGCCCGAAATGAAAGGGGAAGCCTTTACCTTTGGTTCTGTGTATGTGTGCCATTTGAGAAAGGCTGTGGGTGTAAGCTTGGATGACCCTCTCGGTCAAGCTTGGGCCAACTTGGGCCCGGCTTGTGTGCCTGGCACCAAGAGGCCGCCGTTGAAAGCAAGCCACGTGCCGTAAGGAAAGCCAAGCTTGCAGGGCCTGAGTGGGGCTGACCCTACCGCTGTCCCCGCAGTGTACAACACCTTCCAGACCCGAGCGCAGAACATCCCGATGGTCTACGTCCCCACCGCCGGCATCATGCCCGCAGGTGAGTCAGGAGTGAAGCTGCACCTCTGCTCTTGGCATTAGTTGATGCGTTCGATTGTTCCTTGCCTTTCCCTATTGCTACAAGCCGTCTTTTAGATGTGCTTTTGCCAATTGATGCAGGGTGGGCTTGATACCGTTTTGTTGTTATTGTTTACAATTCTAAACAATAATTTAGGGGGAGGGTGTTGTAATTATAATTGTATACATTTGCACAGTTTTTAACCTGCTGTATGTATGCTGTATGTATGGAGCCCCCGGTGGCGCAGTGGTTTAAAGCACTGAGCTGCTGAGATTGTTGATCGAAAGGTCGCAGGTTCGATTCCGGGGAGCGGCGTGAGCTTCCGCTGTCAGCCCTAGCTTCTGCCAACCTAGCAGTTCGAAAACATGCAAATGTGAGTAGATCAATAGGTACCGCTCCGGCGGGAAGGTAACGGCGCTCCATGCAGTCATGCCGGCCACATGACCTTGGAGGTGTCTACGGACAACGCTGGCTCTTCGGCTTAGAAATGGAGATGAGCACCACACCCCAGAGTCAGACATGACTGGACTTAATGTCAGGGGACTACCTTTACCTATGTTCAATGTGCACCCTGGAGTCCCTTTGGCGAGGTGGCCGAAGGGACTCGTGACAATATTATAGAATCACAGAGTTGGAAGAGACCTAGGGGACTATCATCCACTCCACCCCCATTCTGCCAAAAAGCAGGACAATCAAGTTTAAAGCACCCCCGACAGTTTAAAGCACCCCATAGAAGGAGCCTCCAGCACATTCCGGGGCAGAGAGTTCCACTGTTGAACAGCTCTCACAGTTACGTTCAGGTGCAATCTCCTTTTCCCAGCGTGGTCGACTGTGAATCGCACATTGCTCCGTTGCGTCTTAGGGAGAAAACAAGCTTGCTCCCTCCTCCCTAGGACTTCCCCTCACGTCTTTATATATGGCCATGATGTCTCCTTCTCTTCTGAAAGCTAAACATGCCCAGCTCTTTAAGCCGCTCCTCATAGGGTTTGTTCTCCAGACCCTTGATCATAGCAGCCCTGCTCCGGACACATTCCAGCTTGTCAATTGTGGTGCCCAGAATTGGCTGAGCTTGTTGACCTTTATGTCTGGGGAGCAGCTCGGACACAAGGCCATCCGTGGCCCAAGGAGACAGGCCTGGGCAGACTTCCCTTCGAAGCAAGGAAGCCGAGACTTTTGGATACCTGGTTGAGAGACTTGGTAAAACTACAACTCCCAGGATGGTGTTGCTTAGGGAACATCAACACTGCAGAACCGATGATGATGATGCAGGGAGACGCCATCCAATCCCTCCCAGCAGATGCCCACCCAGCCTCTGCTTAAAGACCTCCAGAGAATTATTATTGTATTTATTTATTTTTTATACACACACACACACACATATATATATAATTTAATTTATACCCTGCTTTATCTCTCCACGAAGGAAACTCAAAGGGGCTATGTATCCAATAAAAGTATTACCAAAGGTCAGCGGTTCAAATCCAGGGACCAGGGTGAGCTCCCGCTGTAAGCCCCAGCTTCTACCAACCTATAATTATATTATTTTATATTAATTTTATTTATCTCATTCAATATATATATATATATATATATATGAATATAAAATAATATAATTATATAATTTTAATATAATTTTAAATATAATTATTATAGATAGATAGATAGATAGATAGATAGATAGATAGATAGATAGATAGATAGATGGCGGCCCCGGTGGTGCAGTGGGTTAAAGCACTTAGCTGATGAACTTGTTGGCCAAACCGGGGAGCGGTGTGAGCTCCTACTGTCAGCCCCAGCTTCTGCCAACCTAGCAGTCCGAAAACATGCAAATGTGAGTAGATCAATAGGTACTGCTCTGGCGGGAAGGTAACGGTGCTCCATGCAGTCATGCCAGTGGCCACATGACCTTGGAGGTGTCTACGGACAACGCTGGCTCATCAGCTTAGAAATGGAGATGAGCACCCGAGTCCCAGAGTCAGACACGACTGGACTTCATGTCAGGGGAAAACCTTTATTTTTACCTATTCCAGGTGTGGTCTAACCAAGGCAGAACAGAGCATGGGTAGCATGACTTCCCTGACACATATATATGTGGAGTTCAGTTAAATGTAAAGAAAGAAGAGCTTCCCAAACAATGTGTACCCAAGGGATGCTGGAGTGTCAAAACTTGTGTCCTTCCCAGTGTTTTGGACTCCAGCTCCCATAATGCCTGGCCGTCGGGGAAGCTGGAAAGAGGGGCTTCTGGAAGGCCCAAATGTCCGCATTAGGCCTTTCAGCTCTGTACATGTCTCCCCCCACCTCTCCTTTCACTTGCAGGATACCATTCGCCTCCCCCAAGCGCCCAGCACTATTATTCCGGCGCAAGGAACCGGACTCAGGCCTGGCTCTGGAGCGTGAGGAAATGACCGCCTCTCGGGGCAACGCAAAGGAGGAAGTAAAACAAGTGAAGCGTGTGGCAAGCGTCCCTCTCTTTCATTGGGCGTTTCAAGGCGCGCCCTGGCAAGTCTAAAGGGCAGTGCTCTGTCGCAGAAATGCTCAAGTACTATTCACTCAAATCTAACGCTCACCCCGCCTCGCCATCATGTGGTATTCCTCAAATCTAATGCTAAACTGCCTCACCAAAATGAAGGTGCGCATTAGATTTGCATCATATGGTAGGTATTACTCGAATCTAATGCTCACCCCTTTTGGAGCAAAACTGCCTCGCCAAAATGAAAGTGCGCATTAGATTTGCATCATACAGTAAGTATTACTCGGATCTAATGCTCACCCCTTTTGGGGCTAAACTGCCTCACCAAAATGAAGGTGCGCATTAGATTTGCATCATATGGTATTACTCAAATCTAATGTGCGCTCCTTTTGAGGCTAAACTGCCTCGCCAAAATGAAGGTGTGCATTAGATTTGCATATAGTATTACTCAAATCTGATGCGCACCCCTTTTGGAGCTAAACTGCCTCACCAAAATGAAAGTGCGCATTAGATTTGCATCATACAGTAGGTATCACTCAAATCTAATGCTCACTCCTTTTGGGGCTAAACTGCCTCGGGTGCGCATTAGATTTGCATATGGTATTACTCGAATCTAATGCTCACTCCTTTTGGGGCTAAACTGCCTCGGGTGCGCATTAGATTTGCATCATATGGTAGGCGAGCTTATTACTGAGCCACGGCCAAAGGGGAAGCTGCTTCCGAAGCACTTGGAAGGGCCTCATGTCTCATTTAAATGCATTGACTCAATGCTAAGGGATCCTGGGATTTGTAGTTTGGGGTGGCATCAACTTCCTTTGGCAGAGAAGGCTCGAAGCCTTGCAAAAACTCCATGTCCCCAATCACTGAACCAAGGCAATCAAAGCAGATTCGTTCCGCAGCAAAGATGCATAATAATAGTAATAATAATAATAATAATAATAATAATGTTCTTACTGGAAGGTTTGTTGCTGTAACTCAGCCCTGGGCAAACTTGGGCCCTCCAGGTGCTTTGGACTACAACTCCCACAATTCCTAACAGCCTACCGGCTGTTAGGAATTGTGGGAGTTGTAGTCCAAAGCACCTGGAGGGCCCAAGTTTGCCCAGGGCTGCTCTAATGCTTTTGTTTTGAAAGAAAGAATGCTAACCAGGAAGCAACTTTTCTCCGTCGTGGTCAACTGTGCATCGCACATATGGTGCATGTTAGATAGTGCGTTAGACTCGAGTCGGTGTGGGTAATTCACACATCTACAGAGCAAGGCCCCAAGTGAGGAAAAGTACTGACCAAGTCCACTCTGCGTGTTTCCCAAAACATCCCCAGACTCAAAACACAAAGAGGCGAAAGGCCGGTGTTGTCTTTATATCCAAAATTTATTGAGTCAAATGGGCGAGGCTACAAGGACAGAGGCGGCCGCGGTTTGATCCGCTCTGTTGCGGCTGGCCTTGGGTGTCTTGGGACCTTGTCTGTGCCCTCCCAGAGAGAGAGAGAGCGCGCGCCATCATGGCGGCCAACCCTGGGCCTGTAGCCCCGCCCGCCGGGCAACAACCATCCAATTCTGCATCTAGTGCTGCTTTCGCCGGAAGGAGCATCCTGCGGGGAGAGAGAGAAGGAGCAGGACGGTGGGACATACAGGATGCTTGGGGACCCCGTCTATAGAACACCCCCCCCCCTCAAAACACAGAGTAGGAAAAGCCCCACGTTCTCGTTGGCTCAAATGAAAGAGCAACAGGAATGCCCTGCAAAAGGGAACCCAAGGGTGCCCGGGAAAGACTTCTGGGGTGGACTAAGAGAAAGCAAGATGGAGGAATGTGAGCTGCGTTGTCTTTCAAACCCAGGCGTGAGGGCCTGATGCAGTTTCTCAGCCCTCCTCTCTCTCACCATCCTATCCCTCCCTTCCTCCTTCTCTTCCACCCTTTCCTCTTTCCCTCCCTCCCTCTTTCTCCTTCCATCCTTCCCTTCCACCGTTTTGTCCGCCTCTTCCTTCTCTTTTTCCTTCCTTCCTTATTTCCTCCCTCCCTCCCTACTTTCCTTCCCTCTCTTCTCTCTTTCCTTCCCCTCCTTTCTCCATCCATCCTTCCCTTCCACCGTTTTGTCCTTCCCTTCTTTTTCCTTCCTTCTCTATTTCCTCCCACCCTCCTTCTCTTTTGTTTTCCCTTCCTTTTCTTTCCTTCCCCCTTGCCTTCCACCGTTTCATCCTTCTCTTCCTTTCTCATTTCCTCCCTCTCTTCCTTTTTCCTTCCTTCTCTCTTTCCTTCCCCCTTGCCTTCCTCTTTCCGTCCTTCCCTTTCACCGTTTTGTCCTTCTCTTCCTTTCTCCTTGCCTTTTTCTCCTTCCATCCTCCTCTTCCTTTCTCCTTCCCTATTTCCTCTCTCTTCCTTTTGTTTTTCCTTCCTTCTCTCTTTCCATCCTTCCCTTCCACCGTTTCCTCCTTCTCTTCCTTCCTTCCCTATTTCCTTCCTCCTCCTCTTCCCCCTTTTGTTTTTCCTTCCTTCGCTTTCCTTCCTCCTTGCCTTCCCCTCCACCGTTTCGTCCTTGTCTTCCTTCCTCCTTCCCTATTTCCTCCCTTCTCTTCCTTTTGGGTTCCTTTTGTTTTTCCTTCCTTCTCTTTCCTTCCTCTGTGCCTTCCTCTTTCACCTTCCACCCTTTTGCCTTTCTCTTCTTCCCTCCCTTCTTTTTCCTTCCTCCTTGCAGGGAATGCTAGCATGTGGCCCCCAAGTTAGGAAGTATGCCCAGGCCTGCTTTAGAAGCAAGCAGGGGAATCATCTTTTGCTTTTCCCCTTGACCCTCCTCCTGCCACTTGGACATGAACGAGGGAGGCATGCTGGCTTACAAAAATGACGACTGGAGCTGTGGGAAGGGAAACAGCTGAGAACCCCTTCGGTTAATAGAAAGCCAGGAACCTCTATCTTCAAAACGTATACTTCTTCGTAGTAAAGACTTGGGACTTTTCATTATTTTGGGGGTAAACACCACTCACTGGAAACAGTTTGTTAGATTTCCAAACTCCCAAAACGAAGAGATTTTAAGGCTCCTTATTGAATTACTCCGGTTTAGTTGTATTGCTGTTGCTACACAAAAATGGGGACTTCCAACTGCTTCAAGACTTTGTGTACACAGTCATGAAGCCAAGGGAAAGGCATGCAAATAAATGACGAAAGCAGGAACCCGTTTCCCTAGGGACTGAACTATACGGGAGGAGGAAAACAAAGGGCGCCTTATGTAACGCAACAGGGGACACTCCAGAGAAACGAGACAAGAGGAATGGGCTTCAGCGTACCTTCTGTCAGCCGAGCCTTCCCGCCCGTGGGCTGGCAGAGCACAGTTGAGCAGCCAACGCACAAAACCACCGTCTGAGCATGACTGAAGACCGTGGTGATCTTGTAGCAACCTGCACAGGGGGGGAAAAAGACCAGGCTGAGCATATGCCATTGTCCAAAATCAACCCAGGTTGTAGGCATGGGCAAACTTTGGCACTCCAGGTGTTTTGGACTTCAACTCCCACCATTCCTAGCAGTCTCAGGCCCCTTCCTTTCCCCCCTCAGCTGCTTAAACATTATTTCTATCTATCTATCTATCGGGACCTGAAGGTAGGCCTCTCTTAGGTCTATCAAGGTCTATCACTCTCTCCTCTAACTATCAGGACCTGAAGATAGGCGTCTCTAATCTATTGGGACCTGAAGGTAAGTGTCTCCTAGGTCTATCACTCATCTATCTATTGGGATCTGAAGGTAGAGCTTCTCTTAGGTCTATTGTCTATCACTCTCTCATCTATCTATTGGGACATGAAGGTAGGCCTATCACTCTATTGTCTTATCTATTGGGACCTGAAGGGAGGCGTCTCTTAGGTCTATCACTCTCTCATCTATCTGTCGGGACCTGAAGGTAGGCCTCTCTTAGGTCTATCACTCTCTCATCTATCAGGACCCAAAGGTAGGCCTCTCTTAGGTCCATCACTCTCATCCATCTATCTATTGGGACCTGAAGATAGGCCTCTCCTAGGTCTATCACTCTCTCCTCTAACTATTGGGACCCTGAAAGTAGGCCTCTCTTAGGTCTATCACTCTCTCGTCTATCTTAAGCAGCTGAGAAGGAAAAGGAAAGGGCCTGAGGCTGTTAGGAATGATGGGAGTTGAAGTCCAAGTCACCTGGAGGGAGGGCCAAAATTTAATATCTGAGAGAGAGTAACTTCACTCCTTGTTTTCCATCTCATTCTATTGAAAGATGGAATACCGATCCATATGGTTGCACTGAACTTTCCTGTAGAGCAGTGGTTCTCAACCTGTGAGTCCCCAGGTGTTTTGGCCTACAACTCCCAGAAATCCCAGCCAGTTTGCCAGCTATTAGGATTTCTGGGAGTTGTAGGCCAAAACATCTGGGGACCCACAGGCTGAGAACCACTGCTGTAGAACATAAATGTAAACAACGGGCGTATTATTATTAATTATTATTTATTTCCTATAGTTATTCCCCACCCTTCTCACCCCCGAGGGGGGACTCAGAGCAGCCTCACAAACACCATACGGTGTCATCATTAAACAACGATACATTAAAATATTAAAATAATTGATTAACACACACCTATTAAAATCCACGCAACTGTAGTCGACTTGGAATGTATGGCTGGAAAGGAAATTTCAACTAGGGACTATTTGCCGAGAGGCAATGCCATGAAGACACGAAAACGTACATAGGAAGCCATTCTTAAAACGGGAGCAACCCATTTGCCAGAGAGCAATGCAATCATGTGGATCAGGAAGTAAACAGAGAAGTGGCAAACTGGCGCTCTGCAAAGCAAAGTTCAACCATCAATGCTGAATCAGAAGGTGAATTATGTAATGTGGCCTCTTATCACAATTCAGTGCAGGAGCCCAAAGGTACTGAGGAGGAGATGGGTGTGGGCCGGGCCTACCTGGACACTTGACGTCCATGAAGTAGGAGTTGGGGCTCTGGACCAGGCGCTTCTTCTTGTGCTTCCGCTTCTCCTCCTCAGGGGAGGGATGCAAGAGGTCCTTTGCGAGCTGCACGGAAAAGAAAGCCAAAGCAAGGGCCGCCTCAGGCAGAGACCAACCCAAGCCCCCCGTTTCCCTTCCCCGTTCCTCCAAGGGTTCAAGGCCAGCCTCAGAGGCAGGGGCCAGGCAGCCCGGAAAACTCAACAGCAACCCAAGCATGATCAGTCTGTGCTATAAATTAATCCTGGAGAAGATAATAATAATAATAATAATAAGCATGCTCATGGAAACCTAGAGTTGGAAGAGACCTCGTGGGCCATCCAGTCCAACCCCCTGCCAAGAAGCAGGAAAATAGCATTCAAAGCACCCCCATCTGTGCTATTAATTAATCCTGAAAAAAAATAAGATTAATAATAACAATCATCATCATCATGCTACTCTGTGCTATTAATTAATCCTGGAAATAATAATAATAACAATAATGAGGAGGAGGGGAAGCATGCTGGGTCTGTGCTATTAATTAATCCTGAAAATAATAAGATTATTCATCATCATCATGCTCATCTGTGCTAGTAATTAATCCTGAAAATAGTAAAAATAATAAGAAGCATGCTCAGTCTGTGCTATTAATTAATCCTGTAAATAATAATAATAACAATAACAATAATAATAAGCATGCTCATCTGTGCTATTAATTAATACTGGAAATAGTAGTAGTAGTAGTAATAATAATAATAATCATAAGCATGCTCATCTGTGCTATGAATCCTGGAAATAATAGTAATAATAATAAGAAGAAGTATGTTCAGTCTGTGGTATTAATTATTCCTGGAAATAATAATAATAATAATAATAAATAATAATAATAAGCATGCCCTCCCTCCAGATCTCCTGCCAGAGACTCAAAGCGGCTTAACATGAAAGCATCAGCATACTATTTCAAATCTACAAACATTCAAACATAACTGGATATCAATGGTATTTTAAAAGTTAAGTTAAAATCCATACAAAGGTATATTCAAAGCTGAAAACCCCAGCCCAAACCTTCTTTATGTCAAAGCCTGCTTGAATGGAAAGGCTTTGGCCTACAGTTGGAAGGAAGGGCAGCTGGGAGGGAGCCCCAACCTTGGATTAGCATTATAATGGCCTTGCAGCTTCAAAGCCTGGCTGCATCCTTTGTTGGGAGGTGTGAGCTGGCCCTGATATAAACCCCGCTTGCAGACCTCACCACCTCTGAGGACGCCTTTATAGTCATAGATGCGGGCGAAACGTCAGGAGAGAGTGCTTCTAGAACATGGCCATATAGGTCAAAAAACTGACAGCGATTCCAGCCACGACAGCCTTTGACAATACTATTGCTATTGTTGTAAGGGATGCTGGATCTAGGCTATAAATTAATCCAGGAAATAATTATAGTAATAATAATAATTTGTATTTATAACCTGAGCCAAAGATGTAGGCGAAACGTCAGGAGAGAGTGCTTCTAGAATATGGCCATATAGGTCAAAAAACCCAGCCACGAAAGCCTTCGACAATACTATTGCTATTGTCGTCTGGGATGCTGGATCTAGGCTATAAATTAATCCAGGAAACAATGATAGTAATAATAATTTGTATTTATAACCTGAGCCAAAGATGCAGGCGAAACGTCAGGAGAGAGTGCTTCTAGAACATGGCCAAAAAACCCAGAGTGATTCCAGCCAGTGTGGGTTTTTTTTAATTTTAATTACTCTTGTTATTGTCATAAGGGTTGCTGGATCTAGGCTATACATTAATTAATCCAGGAAATAAATAACAATAAACAATAATAATTGTCATATTGCTATTGTCATAAGGGGTGCTGGATCTAGGCTATAAATTAATTAATCCTGGAAATAATAATTATTATTACTAATAATTATTATTATATTGTTGTTATTATTTCCAGGATTAATTAATTTATATTATTATTATTATTATTGGGAGTGAGAGAAGGACGGGCCATCGGCTGAGGGGGATCTCAAGGCCCAAAAGCCTGGGCCTCAACCTCCCCATAACCTCTCCCTTCCTTAGTATCTGATTGTATACAATCTTAGTAATGGTGGAGGCCCAAACCATCCCTCCCTTCCTCCTCCGCCCCCAAAGCAGCCACGTCCGCCATTTTGTGCCTGGCTCCTCCGGCCTTCGGAGAGGCAGCGGCCGTGGTTGGCCTGAGCGGCCGGGCGCGGCGTCTCCTCGGCGGGGGGCGCTGCCAGGAAAGTCCGCGGCGCAGGGCGAGGCCTAGCGCGGCCTGAACGAGGGAAGGAGAGAGAGAGAGAGACTCACAGGCATGTCCGCGTGGAGGCAGCGACGGCCGGAAAGGAGCCACGCCGGAAGGAGAGGGCGCTATATCCGCTCGGCGCGGGGTTTCCCCGGAGGGAGGCCGGAAGTCGAGGGGAAAGGGGGCGGGGCAGGGGTGAACCACGCCCTCTCCCTCCACTGCGCAGGCTCAGCGGCGCCATCTTGAGGAGGGGAAAGGAGGGGAGGGGAGGCCGCCATGATGGGAGGGAAGGAGGGAGGGAAACAGGCCTAGATGCATGGATAGGTAGATGGATGGGTGGGTGGGTAGGTAGATAGGTATATAGGTAGATAAGTAGGTAGGTAGGTAGGTAGGTGGAGAGAGATAGATAGATAAATAAATAGGTAAATAGATAAGTAGATAGATAAGTAGAAAGGTAGATAGATAGATTGATAAGTAGATAGGTAGGTAAATAGATAAGTAGATAGGTAGGTAGGTAGATAGATAAATAGGTAAATAGATAGGAAGGTAGATAGGTAAATAGATAAGTAGATAGGTAGATAGATAAATAAATAGGTAAATGATAAATAGATAGATAGATGTAGATAGATAGGTAGGTAGATTCGATAGGTAAATAGATAGATAAGTAGATAGATAGGTAGGTAGGGAGATAGATAGATAGATAGATAGGTAAATAGATAAGTAGATAGGTAGGTAGGGAGGGAGATAGATAGGTAAATAGATAAGTAGATAGATAAATAGATAAGTAGATAGATAGATAGATAGATAGATAGGTAAATAGATAAGTAGATAGATAGATAGATAGATAAGTAGATAGATAGATAGGTAAATAGATAAGTAGATAGATAGATAGATAGATAGATAGGTAAATAGATAAGTAGATAGATAGATAGATAAATAGATAAGTAGATAGATAGATAGATAGATAAATAGATAAGTAGATAGATAGATAGGTAAATAGATAAGTAGATAGATAGATAGATAGATAAATAGATAAGTAGATAGATAGATAGATAGATAGGTAAATAGATAAGTAGATAGATAGATAGGTAAATAGATAAGTAGATAGATAGATAGATAGATAGATAGATAGATAAATAGATAAGTAGATAGATAGATAGATAGATAGGTAAATAGATAAGTAGATAGATAGATAGATAGATAAATAGATAAGTAGATAGATAGATAGATAAGTAGGTAGGTAGGTAGGTAGGTAGATAGATAGATTGATAAGTAGATAGATAGGTAGGTAGGTAGATAGATAGATAGATAGATAAGTAGATAGATAGATAGGTAAATAGATAAGTAGATAGATAGATAGATTGATAAGTAGATAGATAGATAAATAGATAAGTAGATAGGTAGGTAGGTAGATAGATAGATAAATAAATAGGTAAATAGATAAGTAGATAGATAGGTAGATAGATAAGTAGATAGGTAGGTAGGTAGATAGATAGGTAAATAGATAAGTAGATAGATAGATAGATAGATAGGTAGGTAGGTAGATAGATAGGTAGGTAGATAGATAGGTAAATAGATAGATAAATAGATAGATTAATTGATTGATTTTCATCTTGTCTCCTGCCTATGTGTCATCAGTCTCCTATGCTATGTCAATAATATAATATAATGTAATCTAATATATTGTATATTATATTATGTATTTATAATAGTATAATATAATGAAATATACTACTAATAATAAGATATTAAAATAATATATTTTATAATACATATAATATTATTATTAATAATATTACAATATAACGATATAGTACAATATAGTAAAATATAATACTGGTATTGTATAATAATAATAATAATAATAATAATAATAATAATAATAAACCTTTATTTACACCTCGCTAACATCTCCTGAAGGACTTGGTGCAGCTTACAAGAGGCCGAGCCCAAATACATCAATAAAACAACAGCATAACAAATACAACAATAAATAAACTCATAAAACAAGCAATAAACATTGGACAATATGACGCATTTAAAACTAAGGCCGGGCCAAATGTAATGATTAAAAATTATGCTAATATTATAGCATATTGTATATATATCTATCTTGTAAGCCCCTCTGGGTCCCCTTTGGGGTGAGAAGGGTGGCATATAAATGCCTTAAATAAATAGATAGATAAATAGATAGATAGATAGATAGATAGATGTATAAAGATGGAGATAGATAGGATGGAGATGGATGGAGATAGATAGGAAGGTAGACAGATTGATAGATAATAAGATACATAGGAAGATAAATGGAAAGATGGATGGATGGATAGGAAGGAAGAAAGATAGATTGATGGATAAGAAAATAGGAAGTCAGGAAGGAAGGAAGTTGGATTTATGGATAAATAGGAAGATAGATAGATAGCTAAATAGATGGATAGAGGTAGGAAGGAAGGAATGTAGATAGATAGATAAATAGATAGGAAGATAGACAGAAAGATGGGAAGGAAAGAAAGATAGATAGATGAATAGATATGAAGATAGATGGATAGACAGACAGACAAATAGATACAGAGAGATGCATAGATAGATAGGAAGATAGTTGAATACATGGATGGATTGATAAGATAGTTGAATAGATGGATGGATGGATGGATGGATGGATAGATAGATAGATAGATAGATAGATAGATAGATAGATAGATAGATAGATAGATAGGAAGAGCGATATTAAATAGTTTCTCCCTCAAGCAGGCTCTCCCTCTCTCAGCTAACAATTGAAACTCTGCAGATGGATAGGTAGGTAGCTAGGTAGGTAGATGCATGGGTGGATAGATAGGCAGATAGATGGATGGATGAATGGGTAGGTAGTTAGGTAGGTAGATGCATAGATAGATGGGTGGGTGGGTAGATAGATGGATGGGTAGGTAGGTAGATAGGTAGGTAGATGCATGGATGGATGGATGGATAGATGGGTGGATAGATGGATGGATGGGTAGGTAGGTAGGTAGGTGGATGGATGGGTGGATAGATAGGTAGATAGATAGATAGATAGATAGATAGATAGATAGATGGATAGGTAGGTATATGGATGGATGGGTAGGTAGGTAGGTAGGTGGATGGATGGATGGGTGGATAGATAGGTAGATAGATAGATGGATAGATGGATAGGTAGGTAGATGGATGGATGGGTAGGTAGGTAGGTAGGTGGATGGATGGGTGGATAGGTAGATAGATAGATGGATAGGTAGGTAGATGGATGGATGGGTAGGTAGGTAGGTAGGTGGATGGATGGGTGGATAGATAGGTAGATAGATGGATGGATAGGTAGGTAGATGGATGGATGGGTAGGTAGGTAGGTAGGTGGATGGATGGGTGGATAGATAGGTAGATAGATAGATAGATAGATGGATAGGTAGGTAGATGGATGGATGGGTAGGTAGGTAGGTAGGTGGATGGATGGGTGGATAGATAGGTAGATAGATAGATGGATAGGTAGGTAGATGGATGGATGGGTAGGTAGGTAGGTAGGTGGATGGATGGGTGGATAGATAGGTAGATAGATAGATGGATAGGTAGGTAGATGGATGGATGGGTAGGTAGGTAGGTAGGTGGATGGATGGGTGGATAGATAGGTAGATAGATAGATGGATAGGTAGGTAGATGGATGGATGGGTAGGTAGGTAGGTAGGTGGATGGATGGGTGGATAGATAGGTAGATAGATAGATGGATAGGTAGGTAGATGGATGGATGGGTAGGTAGGTAGGTAGGTGGATGGATGGGTGGATAGATAGGTAGATAGATAGATGGATAGGTAGGTAGATGGATGGATGGGTAGGTAGGTAGGTAGGTGGATGGATGGGTGGATAGATAGGTAGATAGATAGATGGATAGGTAGGTAGATGGATGGATGGGTAGGTAGGTAGGTAGGTGGATGGATGGGTGGATAGATAGGTAGATAGATAGATGGATAGGTAGGTAGATGGATGGATGGATGGGTAGGTAGGTAGGTATGTGCATAGATGGATGGGTGGATAGATAGGTAGATGGATGGGTAGGTAGGTAGGTAGGTATGTGCATAGATGGATGGGTGGATAGATGGGTGGATAGATAGGTAGATCGATCGATCAATAGATGGATAGGTAGGTAGATGGATGGATGGGTAGGTAGGTAGGTGGATGGATGGATGGATGGATGGGCGGATGGGTGGATAGATAGGTAGATAGATATAGATAGATAGATGGATGGATGGGTTGGTAGGTAGGTAGATGCATAGATGGATGGGTGGGTGGTTGGGTGGGAGGACGGATGGACAGACAGACAGACAGATAGGAACATAGATAGTTGAATAGCTATGAAAACAGATGGGTAGACAGACACTCAGATAGATAGACAGACAGAGAGATAGGAAGATAGAAAGATAGATAAATACATGGATGGATTGATTGATAGATGGATAGATAGATAGAGCGATATTTAATTGTCTCTCCCTCAAGCCGAGTCTCTCTCTTTTCCAGCAATTGGGACTCTGCCATGCCTATACATTCACAGTGTATAAAACTCATAATTAAAACCGATGGAATCCTGATAGCCACAAAAGGCCTCTTGGACAACCTCACAGTGTATTTTGTATAGTTTTAAACTGCATTGGGATTGGGATTGGGAAGGGACGTGATCCTTGCTCAGCTTCCCTTGCAGCGAATGCACTCTGCACATGCTCAACGGCACCCTTTCTTTGACCAAAAATTGGGGTTTTAAAATTATTATTATTATTATTATTATTGTAAATTCTAGTAAATGCAGCACCCTTTTCTGGAGTAAAATGGGGTATTAAAATTATTATTATTATTATTATTATTGTCAATTCTGTTAATGCACTGGGATTGGTAAGGGAAGTGATCGTTGCTCAGCTTCCCTTGCAGCGAATGCACTTTGCACATGCTCAACAGCACCATTTCCTGGACCAAATTCTAGTAAATGCACTGGGATTGGGAGGGGATCATTGCTCAGCATCCTGTGCAGCTGATGCACTCTGCACATGCTCAGTGGCACCCTTTCCTCGACCAAAAATGGGGGTATTAAAATTATTATTATTATTATTGTCAATTCTAGTAAATGCACTGGGATTGGGAAGGGAAGTGATCATTGCTCAGCTTCCCTTGCAGCAAATGCACTTTGCACATGCTCAACAGCACCCTTTCTTTCACCAAAAATGGTGATATATTAAAATTATTATTATTGTCAATTCTAGTAAATGCGGCACACTTTTCTGGAGCAAAAATGTGGTATTAAAATTATTATTATTATTATTATTATTAATTCTACTAAATTCATTGGGATTGGGAAGGGACATGATCATTGTTCAGCTTCCCTTGCAGCGAATGCACTTTGCACATGCTCAACGGCACCCTTTCCTGGACCAAAAATGGGGGTATTGTAATTATTATTATTATTATTATTGTCAATTCTACTAAATGCACTGGGATTGGGAAGGGATGTGATCATTGCTCAGCCTCCCTTGTAGCGAATGCACTTTGCACATGCTCAACAGCACCCTTTCCTCAACCAAAAATGGGGATGGTATTATTATTATTATTATTATTATTATTATTATTAAGGGACATGATCATTGTTCAACTTCCCTTGCACTCTGCACATGCTCAGCGGCACCCTTTCCTCAACCAAATTTGGGGGTATTAAAATTATTATTATTATTATTATTATTATCAATTCTAGTAAATGCAGCACCTTTTCTGGAGCAAAAATGGGGTATTAAAATTATTATTATTGTCAATTGTAGTATTTCCTTTGCAGCGAATGCACTTTGCGCATACTCAATGGCATCCTTTTTTGGACCAAAATGGGGGTATTAAAATTATTATTATTATTATTATTATTATTATTATTATTATTGTCAATTCTAGTAAATGCAGCACCCTTTTCTGGAGCAAACATAGGGGTATTAAAATTATTATAATTATAATTATAATTATTATTATTATTGTATTTCCTTTGCAGCGAATGCACTCTGCACATGCTCATTGTCCCCCCCTTTGTTTTCCCTTCTTCTTTTGCAGAGTTTCCAAGGGATGTCTGGAGCCTGCCTGCTTCCTGTCCTTCCTCTGGTCCTGCCTCCTTAACCCTTTCCTTTCCTGGAGGAAGTAACTTGGGAGGAAGCCGAGGGAGTGGACTCCGGGAAAAGGGGAAGAGGAGGAGGAGGAGGAGGAGGGAAGACAGGAAGGGGAAAGGAGGAGAAGAGGAGGAGGAGTTGTGGCATTTCCCCCCAGCTTGGGGACCCCTTCCTCCACTTCCTTCCTTG